CTCCTATCCAATGGGTAACGGGGGCTCTTTTCTCGGGGGTAAAGTGCCCAGGGCGTGAAGCTTACCACTCACCTCCAACCAGTTCCGAAGACACGAATACGTGGATCTATAAAACCACTCCCCATACGCCTTCATAGCGTAGTGCTTAGTTAATTAAGCACAGGGACAGCTTTTACCCCCAGAAATATGAACACACCCCATTCCCTCCTCCGTAGGTATAAAGATGTCGCCGGATTCCAAAATATATTGTTATGTATATGAGTGACTATAACTGACCAGTTATATAAACATGACTCGTGACTACACTTTACAGATCACTGACATATAGACTAGCGTCTTCAGTCTATCACAGTGTCCACTAGCCGTTTACTGGAAACGGATTTTCACACAGTAATTATACAGTCTCACTGAGTTACACTCCAAATCTCACTGTAATTACAGCTCACACAAAATCTTCTCTTTACAGAACGACTTTCAACTAACTCCCAGGCTGTAGGCCATTTCACACCAACCTTCTGGCCTTCTCTTCACAACCTGACTTTCACTGAGCACTCAACTGGTTGCTCCATACCGTCTCGGGTATAATATCTGGGCTCGGACTGCACAGAAAACGCCGTTTCTCCGTTGTTGTTCAATTGTTGCTTATTATGAATCTGCTGCCTAGCAACAGACGTTCCGTTGTTTGTTTCGCGGGCACTGTCTAGAAACGAACGTCGTTTCAGAGCCGTTCCCTAGCAACGGCTCTCTCTGGCTTCACAGTTCTTGATTCGAGCAAATATGCCACAGTATGAAAGCTCTTGGTGTAATCTCTGTTAAAATGAATATTACGAAAACGGGGTATTACGGGGGGAGACAGACTGAACTGGCTCAGGAGAGCCTAATAACCGCTCTTTCCGAACACGGAAATGAATTTTCACATCTCCGAAAAAGTTCGGGAACTTCTTGACTATCTGAGCGACTACCACCGTTTCAAGAAATTAGCGGGGGGAAGGGGGTATTTTGCTTTGTTTATGATCTACTTTTCACTGAAGAGTTCTACGTTCTGGGATCTAACGCCGTGTAGTCCGTTGAAAGTCAACCGACGTTTCCCAGTAACATTACGCAAGCTCTCCTTGCCACTTTCTTCACGTTGGTTTCTTACTTAGCTGTCTTTAAACCTGAAGATGGAAGTGATATGATACTCGGAAACGTCACTTGCCTTTCAAGAGACCAGACGGCGTTACATCCCAGCATAACCACCGCTGTCAGAAGCTCAAATCCTGCATTTTACTATTTGCTTGAAGACGTGCATACGTGGACCACTGTCGCGTGGAACATAAGGTAGTGACAGTCAGACACGTGATTCAAGTTCAGATGTCCTGACTGGTAATGTGTTTGCATTGGGCACTCCCCCCCCCCTCGTGCCAAACAGCCTGCTGTTCGACTGCGAAGGGCCGGTTGAGGTGAGAAACACTGTCATCATTCCAGCAATAAGTGACGCTTGAGAAAACACAACTCCGCGTTGATTTCTGCCTCATTACGCAGTGGGAACATGAAATCGGGACACAGATAAAAAAAAAACGAAAGAAAATCAGGCAAGAACGAACAAATAAAATTTATTTACTCATGATTTCTTCAACGACGCTGCCACTAGCTGTTTCTATGGCGTTGAACTGCGGGAAAATTACCTACTAATGTGTTGGAAAAAGACTGCCTCTGTGGTCTAGTGGTCAGAGTTCTTGGCTACAAATCCAGAGGTCCCGGGTTCCATTTCCGGCGCTACTTCTGAGAAGTAGTGGGTCTGGAACGGGCTCCACTCAGCCTCGTGAGGATAACTGAGGAGCTACTTGAACGGAAAAGCAGCGGCTCCGGTCTAGAAAACCGAAATTAACGACCGTGTGGATCCGTTGCGCTGACCACCCGACACTCTATCCGCAAAAGTTGGCACTAACAAGCGACTACGCTCGGTCGGTATAATTCGCTTGCAGACTACAGGCCACGGAGTTTAATGTGTTGGAAAGGATATGGGAGGAAGCGGTTGTGGCCATATTTGTAGTACAATGTCGGCACTTGGCGCGGTCTAAGGCATTAACTATCTTCGCTCGCTCGAATGCTGGGATCGAGGGTTCGAATCCCACTCGAGGCATGGATGTCTGTGTACGTGTGCTCCTGCGTGTAGGTCGCGGCCTTGCGGCGGGCTGATCACTCATCCAAGGAGACCTACCGTCTGTGAGAAATGATTACAAATCTGAACAAGAGGCCAGGACCCAACAAAGGGCTGTAGAGCCATTTATGAATGACTGAATCTCGGCACTTGCCTATAAGGACTAAAGAAAACCACTTCACTCAGGATAATGGAGTGTCTAGTCCGAGATTCGAACCTAAAACTTCCTAAAAACAAATCAAAAAGTGTTACCACTTCACGCAACTTGGAGAAGAGCTTCATAATTCGTATTCTTCCTTCAGCATCACGCAAGGGACACGAAGGAAATGAAGCGAAGCAGAAGCAGTCCCTGTGCTTAATTAACTAAGCACTATACCATGAAGACGTATGGGGGAGTGCAGGTGCATATCCACCATTCTTCGCTTCCGCGCTAGATAGATGTAAGTAGGCTTCACGCTCCGGTTGCTTTACCGCCGAGGAAATCGTGCTCGGTACCCACTGGAAAAGGGGCTGAGTGGGCCCCAGAGCCGGTATGGACGACGTGGGGTACAGAAAAATCTCACTCCTGACGGGTACCGAACCCCGGCCGTCCAGCCCCTAGCCCCGTCGCTATATTTCAAGGGGAGGGGGAGGCGGGATAGCTCAGTCGGTACAGCTACTGGCTACAGGTTGGACGGCCGAGGGGTCAGAGTCCCAGTCCCGGTAGGGTCAATAATTTTTTCTTCTCCACGTCGTCCAGACCGGCTGTGGGGCCCACCCAGCCCCTTTTCCAATGGGTACCGGGGGCTCTTTCTCTGGGGCGTGAAGCTGACCACTAATCTCCACCTAGTGTCGAGGTCAAGAATGGTGGAGCTATACCTGCATTCCCGTCTTCGTGGCGTGGTGCTTAATTAATTAAGCACAGAAACAACTTTGCCTTTTTACCGCGCTACTCGTCCGGCGGTCCCTAAATGTGAAAACACTGGGTGGAACTGGACAGTACTTAGGCCTCTCTGTCCTTGAAAACTCGATCCAATCTTTTCCACGCCATCCAACTGCAAGTTCCTCAGAGCCTTCTGTTTATTCTTTCCAATCTCCCCCNCCCACATGTATCCGTTAAGCCCTTCAGGCTCTGTAGCAGGACAGTAGTCACTATGCTACAACGAAGGCGTGACAAATGTCGCGACAGAACTGGCCAGCGCCTGATATTCACTTCGGAGCACATCAAACTTCAGTGTACCAATGTCAATGATAAGAAAATCATGCCGATGTTTTCAGCTTGCGCTGTAGACGTGAGACGGAGCAAGTTCGTGTAACGGTAACGCTGGAGTCCCTGGGTTCGACTCTAGGTTGGGACACCGACTATCCTCACTGAGGTCGTCTCGTGATTTTCCACATATGCCGGGATAGTACATCGACTGGGCCAGGCCCCAGCTTCCTTCCACATCCCTTCCAATTCATGATCCATCTATCATCAAAACTCCATACTTTCTTACGGCTATTTTATGATGTTGTCAGTATACAGACTCACGGCTTCGCAAAATAAGCCACGGAAAAGCACACACGAGTGAGCCTTGCTTATTGCCTCGCCTCTCTCTGTCTGGCGGCTGTACTCTACTCAGATTTTCTGCATTCACTATAATCCTGTCCTTACAGGGCATTCCAAAAGAAAGTTCACTTCTCTGTAAGAAACGACAGAGTAAACCCTCGATAATACGGACAGAAGTAAGAAAAATGCTGTGTAAGATTTGAGGTTTTCATGGCGGTGACTATGAAGAATGTCGTCTTCTGGGATGCGGCGCCGTGTTGATATTGTGTAAACCGAAGTTTCGGAGGAACATATCGCCTCTGTCTTCAGGGTATAAAAATCCGCGAGCGAGGAACCAGCGTGAGCAAGCGATAAATGGTGCACAAACGTGAAACTAAGACAGACAAGGATGCGTAAATCTTCCACTGACAAAGCCCAGTCTCAAGTGTTTACATAGATGTAGTAATAAGGACACAGGTGGTCCAGTGAATCAGGTTAGATCTTTGCTGCGGACCCAACAGAGTGTCTCCCACCCCTCACCCAAGGATGGAAACAGGTTCAGTTTCCAAAACGTTGTGATCCCGGAAGATGATCAAAGTAAAACATTTTTGTATCTTTTAACAATTCTTTAAATTGTTAAAAGAGATTTTCTTCTCGAGCGATTCTCCGATTACCGGCCACTTCTTGCTAACCCCATTCGGGCTTCTAAATACTGAGTGATGCTACTTTTTCTTCTGTTGCTCCCATTTGGGGGCATCCGTGAAACGCTTCGTTTTACTTCAGTTTCTTAATCCAAGACCGTCGGTAGGTCTCCTTGGGGGGGGGGGGGATCAGCTAGTAGCAAAGCCGCTACCTAACACAAACATAAAATGCCTTGAGTAGAATTCGAACCCACGACCGCAGTGTTTGAGCGGCCACTGTGATCGGCTAACTAATGCTTACAGACTCCAAATCTAAATTTCTAACCCAGACATACATATCTTTGCGTTTAGGTGGTAAACAGGCTTAGCAAACGTTGAATTCAATAACCTGTACTATCCTCTAACAAAGTGAAGGTGAGGCAATTACCCAATGTCCGTTAAGCGGGTACTATGTAAGGTGAAAACATTAGTGTGATTTTGAAGCGATTTTTCACGTTGTCGTTGGTACACTGAAGATCAGTGTGTCCCTAAATGACCAGTAGAATCGTCAACATCGACCAGGTATACCCAACACTTGCTTCACCTTCTCTTTGTTGGAGGACTGTGTAGTATTAATATTCAGTTTCCATTTGAAGGTTAGCCTCTCTCTGGGTTGACACTCAAACTGTCCTTTAACAAAACACAACACATGTAACACGAGCATACTCACTCAGTGCAGCTGTCAGGTGGGTTGCGGTCCTCTGGAACAAACCGGAGATGATAATTCTATGACGTCCCATGCCTGGTAACACCGCTTAGTTAGATGAAATAAAACGCAACTGTTCACACGGTCCTTCTTCGCAGTCAAGTATGCAACAAAATAGACCTTAGCTCACACCATATTGACTTTCTCTCGCGCACACACACACATTTATTACACACTTTTAACTGAAAATTAAAGTCTGTTCACATAATTCAATCCGCGACTTAAATTGACGCAACAGACGGCAAGTCACGCACAGAATGAATTAAAAGTGATTAATTCATGGTCCATTTGTCACTCGTGTGGTTGATGCAGGAGTTTCACTTTCGGATATAGAAATCTATACAAAATAATCAGTCTTAGCGCACAAAACACGTTAGAATTCATAGCCATGTAGGTAGTTAAACAAGAGTGTATAATTCTTTACAGGAGTACCATGGATATCACGGCACTTATAGGAAAAAAATTACTTCTAGAAAAATGGCAAATTCTTGAATTAATTAAAAAGAACGGGGCCTCTATTCGATATTTTTAAGTTTACCAAATATCCACATATATTTGTTATCCAGTATGTAATGAAGCGAGAACTATTTTAAATTTCCTGTATAAAGTTAGGTGCACCTTTTGCATCTTTAAACACAGACCTAAAAAAAAAGACACCAATACGAAAATCTTAAGGTAACTGGTAGTTTGATAAAACTATCATAACCTCTGAAACAGTTTTAAGACTATTCCAACACAGGTACTTCGCATAACCCCCCTCCCCCCAAATCTATTCTGTATCATGGTCTCGCTTATAACCCATCCCTGAATTCTGTACTAGGAAAACATTTAAATCTGATTTCAGTGCTGAAATGAGCGGAGCATATGTTGCCTTACAACAACTTCGCTTGCGCCAAATTACTTCCATACACTCGGCAAGATCAAGGAAATGAATAAACCAGATGTTATGACAGCCGAAGGGTTTACACTGAAGTCGCAGCAGCCTTCACGCATTCACTAAGCTTCTAAGAAACGCCGATGACGTCTTCAGAGGCCGCACAAGGAACTTGACTCCCTTCAGGGGGTTGCAAACAGCACCTGAAACAAAACTGAAATTAATGTTGTATTTTAGCGTCCTGTTGCACTGATTTTCGTCCATGATATGTATACAGTTGCCGTCTTTTAGTGCACCCAATTTCACTTGTTATTTCACAACATACTTTTTAAATTTTACAATGACATAATGGCAAGCAATCAAATAGATTAACGTAAATGGACCACCTGATGATGGCACTATAGTGCCGAAACATGTTGTGAAATAACAAGTGAAATTGGGTGCACTAAAAGACGGACACTGCATACATATCATGGACGAAAACTGAAATTAAGTATGGAATTAAATGTTATAAAATGTTGAAATAAAGGAAAAGTGTAAGATTTGAGGTTTTCACGGCGGCGACTATGAAGAATGCCGTCTTCTGGGATGTGCCGTGTAGATATTATGTTAACCGACGTTTCGGAGAAACGTATCACTTCCATCTTCAGGGTATATGCAGCCACATGCTCACGCTGGTTCATCTCTCGCGGGATTTCTACTCTGAAAATGGAGGTGATACGTTCCTCCGAAACGTCGGAGGCACTGAGGTCCCTCTATATCGCTTCCTACGACTCGTAGGGCTACGGTGGAGGTACTGGATAAGCGGCGGTCGCTCGGTCGGTATAGTTCGCTTACGGACTAAAGCCACGGCGTATATATATTTTTTTTCTGTGGCGCTACAGCCCCAATTTGGGCCTAGGCCTACCTCCATGAAACTCTCCGTTTCACTTCGGTTTACTAGATCTTACACATTCGGTAGGACTCCTTGGGCGAGTGATCAGCTCGTAGACAAACACAGAAAAACGCACACAAACATCCATGCCCTGAGTGGGATTCGAACCCATGATCCCGGCTTCCGAGGGAGCGAAGACATTGCATGCCTTAGACCGCTCGGCTACCGTGACCGGCCACGGAGTATAATAGTACAGTATATTATAATAGCGTTTCTTCGTGGATAAGAATTTAATACAACCATCCGAACCAGCTTGGCCACTAATTAATTGGGATAATAGGCGTACTGAAACAGACTTCCTACTGGCTCACAAGCCGGGAAACACATTTCGCACGGTACACACGATACCGCTCAACATTGTAACAATATGTTAAGACGCAGCACACATTGCGGAATACTCGGCTCCTTGTGAACCACGCTTTTACGGCGTCTTTTACTCCGCAGACATTCCGAGCGAAGCATAGCTCAAATCCAGGTCCTACCCCAAGCATTCCCACGACCTTCCCCTCCACATACAGCTATCCAGGACCAAGGAAGGTTGTTTACTCGCGTCTCGAGCTACAGGGAAGCATATACCTGCTCCCTGTGCCACACAGGGGACACTGGCTATCCTGAATGAGGGTTTCAGTGGCTTTACTCAGGCCCTGTAAGAGAATGCCGGCACAGAACTTCGATTAGACCGAGATCGCTTCCTTCCCAATTTATTCCAATTCATCACTCAACGCATTCGACGCTATAGTGCGGATACTGACAGTGCTGTAAAACAGATGTAAAAAAAGTAACGGTATCCATGTAAGAGGCCGTGAAAGCCCATACAGTTGTGAGACGTCGAGGCTCCCACATTTTCTCTACAGTCTGCTCACAGATGGCGGTAAGGTTGTAAGCCCTACGCGCCGGCCTCCCTTTACCCCCCAAGAACATTCCTGGTACTCATTTCTGTTAGAGGCTGAGTCGACGCCTGGGCCATAATGCGGCTGGAAGGATTAGGGCAATTATAAAATACAATGACCTCATCGGGGATCGAACCCACAACATTCCGGCTTGTAGATATGTATGTATAAAATTAACGATATAGATGGAACAGGTTGGTGTAGCGGTAAGGCTCTTGACTTCTATTCGGGAGGGGCGGGGTTCGAATCTTCGGTCAAGTTACGGTTATTTTCACCGAGGAATTCCGTGTTTTTCCGTAGTCTCTGCAGACGAATGCCGGGCATTACCTTCAAGCATGATAAATTGGATTCCTTTCTGTTACTCCGTGAAGCGAAAGGTCATTGGATGGCCCGTCTTAATGATTTTAGAAACGTATACCAAAAAGGTTACAGCTCCAATCGATGTGTAGCGCCAGGCACAATTTATTATTATTATTCATTCTCCTTTAGAAATGGGTTTGATTGATGGGAAGGGAATAAGCGAAGTTCCTCACAGTACAAATCTATAAGTTCACACATGCAGGTCACAATTATTAGGCAAAAAATATATTATTCTTAAAATTATCTTAACCAAATGACTTGCACGTCTCATTCATCAAATATCGTAATGGTAGTTTAAATAAAAATCAGCATTCCACGCCGTGTTCAGCTCCATTTAACGAGTGGAGCTACACCTCCATGTGTTCACGTCGTTGTGCTTAACTGGGCATTGGTACAGCTTTATCTTTAAAAATCTGAAAATCAATTCCTTCGGCCCCAAGTATTACGCTTTCAAAATGTTGGTTTAAAATTATGGGGGGGGGGTGACAGTAACAAGATCTCCGGACCCAGTTTAATTATCCATTAATTCAGAGTCTAGTAAAGCACTCTGACGTTTCGGAGACTACCGTTTTCGTTTCCTGCTCAATAAAAAATTGTAAAGTTGTGAACTAAAGCTCATGTTATACCCTGCTGGATGCAATACCAAGCTCGGAACCTCCTCGCCTGCTTCTCCCGTCATGAAACGAACTGCAGAGCCTTTGGTCTGAAAGGCCCTGAATTACATGCACTGCCAGTTGGGCCCTCAGTAGAGAAAAGTGGTTTCATCTATTGATGTGAATATAAGAAAAATCTTGAGCCCCCCAACCCATGAAAATGTCTTAAAATATGATTTAGCAATTTCAAATATAACCGGAATAATAGGCCACATGTATTGAAAATTCTAAGCCTAAGCATCTCACACAGCGTCGTTAAATTAAGTAAGAAGCAGTCACCGTTCTAGGTCAGGTGTGGACAAAATAATGCATTCCAGCCACCGCCGACGTTCCAGAGACCTACGACTTTTTTTTATTTATTTTTGCTGACAGTTACTGCCAACGCAAAAGAAAACAAAAGAAATAAAGCAGCTAGTTCTCTTAAAATAGTATGACCCTACTTGCTTTCAAGTAGTTTATATAGAGGGCACCAAAAACTTCGAATTCAAAATTACACAATGCAGACCCCGCACTTCTGGGAACAATCTGAATTAATACAGACTCTGTGTTAAATCTGTCATATGTCTCTATGTTCGTAACTGTTAACACAAAATGAATGTTCACTACAGAATTCATCTACTGTCGAAATTAAGAATACGTGGAACTAATTTCTACGCCCGCACATGTCTTCATTGTGCGAAGGGTGGTGACAACTTCCTATGCCGAATTTGAATCGCTGGGGAACTCATGTCACTATTTTACATTACCTCTAATATTATAAATTATAAATAAAAAACATGTATTGTAATATAATTTACAACCTACGTAATGAGAACTATGAACAATCGACATTCGTGAACGAAACTTGAGCAATAAACACTAAATTTTTATGTCCATTAATTACAGCGATGAGGCCAAAACGTGTAGAACAAATCACTTCAAAAGGAATTCTTACAATGAGACAGATACGGCAGGCCATGATACTGAACTTGAAATATCCATTCAGTTTGTTATGCTAAATGATGTCATACCGGTAGGTACTACACATGACCGACCATTCAATTCTTCACACATGTGTACTCCTAACACGCCAATGGAATTATCGCGCTGACAAGAGGCGTTTGGGAGGGAAAGTTGTGCAGACACGTGTCAACATTAAGAAGCAAAGTGGGAACACTGTTCACTGCTGCTCTCGTTGTGCCTGAAATTTTCTAGGTTGCCTACTGTTTCCACTAAACAACACTGCAAGAAAACATTCCTCTTGCACAGAATAAAAATGTGTATGTATATTACACTGATGGAACAAAGCGCATTCATACCTGTACGCGGGAAATGAAAACAACTTTTGTTATGTTTATGTTAGTATCAGAACTTAGTGTGATAAGCCAGATTAATGTAGTGTAATATTGAAGGCTACTTCGTTTATGGTGTAAGCTGCAGAAACGAGTTTCAAAGCCCTGGGGCAAAGCATGCCAGGTGATTCCGATATGGGGGGGAAGATAGCAATCACAAGCACCGGTGGTAAACACACTATATACGGATATAACGAACGTGCTGTATTACAATTAATACAATAACGAAGGGAAAAAAAGCACACGTACGTATAACACTGATTTCAAACATGCCAATCTCACGGCAATAATTTCAAAACCTCACACGACTTACCTTCGAGACTGCCACACATCAGCAGTTACATCACCTTCCACTGCCACTGTTGATGGAACAGCTTAAGGTCACCTAACTCTGACACGGGTCTTGATTTTAGATGAAACTTCATTTTTCACAATGCGCAATAAGCTTCTACAAAGCTAACAAAAACAAAAACCTGGTATACAAAAACAGCATCAACTCTTCTCACTCAACCCGCGTTCTGCTTCGCCCGATCCAAGCACCTTGGAGACTGCTTCCGATATATCGAAATCCCAAGTGATAGAGTGCTTCCATCTAATGACACTAGGATAAACTTTAATAACAGGGCAGAAACATGGCGTCCAACCCGACGTAGATTACGAGAGTCATCTACTATGCACTTTATAAAACAGAAAAGCACAAATCGATCTGAATAAATCGACTTCACCAACACGTCGATTCAAACGGAGCCAGAATAATTTTCTGTGCAGTTTGTTCCAAGAAAACTCTGAATTTTATGCCGCAAATTGTTGAAAATACCTGTTTCTTCTTCACTATAATTCTGTGATCTAACAAGGAATTACGACAAACGGGACAGAAAACTGTCGATAGTTGAGGTGGGCAGGAACTTCAATCATTAGCGGTAGATGGCAGGATGAATTATTAATTTATGGTTGTGAACAACAGAGTTTATCATAGCGTTTAACATTATAAAACTGGTGGATCCGATTACTTTCTCTATCCTTCGCCTTCTACAAAGATAAGAAATCGCACACTGATCTCTGATGTTTTAATAACTACCCTTCCTGTAATAGCAAGGGATATGTTCCCACTTATGAGCAGAGTACAAAACTAACGTTCATGACCATATGCGGCAGAATTGAATTGGTGCATGCATTGGTTCAGCAAGCCCCTGTTAGCCTAGCATCACACTGTTCATACATTAAAAGTACCATTAACACTTGAGTACACATGGTTGCCATCACCACAGTAGCAGAAGATTTGTCTCAAACAATAAAAGTTAATCTAACAATTTGGAAATTCTCACACAGTTACATGTTTGTTGGAAGTTTTGGAACACAAGCTGCTGCCCACTTGGATGATACAAGTTTGGAATAATTTCCATTAATGTACTCTGTTCAATTTTTTCTGATCTCTTACAATGAATATTAATATATTGACAATATTTTTACAACTATTTTCACATGTCACCTATAAAGTGATAAGAAAGTTCTTCGAAATAAGGAAATCAGATGCTCAGCTTCCTTCCACATATGGTCTCTGCTTTTAACTATATATACTATAGGACAAACTGTTTGAAATCTCTTTTATTACCTTGTTCTTTGTGTGATGAATCATCATTGATGACTGAATGATGATTGTATGACTTTTAATTTGTGTAATATTGTGAACCTTTTTCAGAATTGTGTCAGCTGTTTGTTTATTATATGGTGTGTGCAGCCTTCATCCTATGTAAACACACCATGATATTATTCCTTAAACAGTACTTTCTTTTCATCTGACACTGTTCCTCATACTTCCTGTGTCTTACTGTGTTATTATTCCTGACAATAATCTCACTAAAACTTGCTCACTGAATACATTGCTAGTAATTCTGAGTATGTGCAATCACAGGAACAGCTAATCTGAATGTTCAAGATGACACATGGTATTCTTAGTGCCTTCTATTGCTCTCTCATAGAAGATGTTAGTAAACAGAGATTACCTTATTCATGTGAACTCTGCAGCATACTGTGCTCCATAAAATTCTGAATAGGACACATGTAAGAGTATGTTACTCTAATTGTAGGTTAGCACAATTGTGAATAAGAGTGTATTAATAAAATTTGTAGATTAGATCAATAGTTGAGCAGAGAACATTTTCTGCTAGTAATACGGCAACTATATGGAACACATTTCAGAGCAAAATTTGTTAATATAATTTATTAGCTTACCATGATTAACAGATTACCATGTACACTGATACACAAAGACATGATTCAACACTTCAACTTCAACTTCAACACATCAAATATTGTTACAATACAAAATGGATAAATCACAAAATTATGTAAATTTACATGTAAGCGCATATAAAACATTTCTCAGTTTTATAGGTATTGTGTACTAAGTAATTCAGTGGAAGTGACTTAGTTTTAGTTTACGTAGTATATTAGGTTTAGAAAAAATTAATTGTTAGTTATCCAACTAGTTTTAATTGTAATTAAGTTCTGAGTTACCCAGTCTTTAATTAATAAATAAAGTAGGTATTGTGGAGATGGGCAGTAAAGAGAGGGCAGTAACTGGTAAGAGTGATCTGAAAAAAACCATTTTAGGTTTATTCCGTAGAAGATATTTGATTTTTCACTTTGCATAAATAATGCCCAAAATTCACACATCCCTTTGAAAATTAAGCTGTTTGGTATATATATATATATATATATATATATATACATGAACTTAGACAGCATCCCATCTTGTCTACTCCAGATTTTTCAATAGTAATAGGAAAATTATAGGGATGATGGCATTCCTCCAAATAGTCATGAAATTTCTGATTAAAAGTTATGATTGATATTATGTCAGTCTATTATAAATTTTGTATTTTAATTATGTAATTTATAATCTTATTACTTATTAGCGATGTACTCATTGACACCGTTCCTGCTAACAGTCTCAAATTGAAGGACATTTAACTTATATTTATGTAATTTGTATTCTTATTAATTTTTTGATTAGATTGTTATTGTGCAGAATCACTGTATTTGACTTGTTCCATATCCTATGGTGTCTACCTGTATCTGGATTTTACGGAATGTAAATAAATTGAATTGAATTGAATTAGAAAAAATATGCACAGGATAACAGTTCTGGTTATTGCCTCCAGATAACATAAAAACTTCTGTTTAATTACCTCATAAACTGCAAAGTTTATGGGAAAGGTAAAGTAGGATGAAATACACACTTCATTTTTCTCTACAAGTTTTGTTTGCATTAATCTGAATGTAACATTTTTCAATCCAACAATTATTTAGTGACATGCACCTCATATGAAATCTCAGTTATTGTTGTCCGACTTTTAACGAAACTGAAATACGTATGTTAACAAATTTTGGTAAAATTCCCCAGTATAAAATTGTATTAACATTTGTTTAAGTGTTTTAGAATCGTTATACAACATGGTAACCAATATATTTTTGCAGAACACATAAAAATGGAAACTTGCTTGAGCAATGTCTTGTCTGGCACATACAGTATATGAGGCAAGAGGTCTAAACACAAACACAGTCATCTATTAAGTCAGCTCATGGATATGAGAGGGAAAGAATCCTGAAGGATCTAGGGAAAAAGACAAAACATTGGAATTGCTAAAGTAGAAATGAGACAGAACAGCCATTTTCATTGCTTTAAAATCAATAGTAGCTGTTAATGTATAATATTAGATTAGATTCTTCAATACTATAGGCACTCTTAAAAATTAGGCAGTCCAATGCCAGCATGTTACCACAGACGCTTTTGATTTTATCTCAGAGTCATACACGTGGAATCTGTGATGATACTGGAGCAGGTTCATCTAAATACTTCAGTTTTCCACTTTTACATCACTTCCTCTTAAGTGTGTGACACGTTTAACCAGCCACTGCATTATCACAACTTTGGTCCACAGTTGGGGTTTAACCTCTGTCTTGGCAATTAGGTGTACCAAGTTAACTTACTTTCTTATTTATTACAGACAGTGTAAGCCATATGTTACTAAACATGGCATTAATGTACACAGTGAATAGGTAAATACATTATTGGAAATGAACTGGATTAAACTATCTTAAGACAGGATCCAATGGCAAGCTTCAGCAATGACAGTGTGTTCTTATACAATCGAATGTCTTGGGCAGCAGAATATTTATTGACTGTTTTAGGGTAAAGAGTATAATGGGAAAGAGTTCTAGTTGTATAAAGCACGGGTCAGTAGTGTGTGACATAAATTTGTGGCTTGAAATCAGTATTTTAGTACTGTAATCTTTATCCCCTTTACCCTTGGTCCAAGTGAACATAAAGTGAAATGTTGTTGCTGGTTGGAGGAAAACAGATGAGTTCAGTGAAACAAGCAACATAAATAATGCTCATTCTCCTTTCTGGTGATGCTGTAATCATAACATGGAAGCTTAAAATAACTAGCTTGCATTAATATACAGGGCATTTTTTATCATCTGACACTTTAAAATCTGTGTTGTTGTTGTTGTTGTTTATTAGAGAGGGTGGGTTTCCCCATGCACTTAGACCAGATATTGGTCCATTGTGTGTTCCCCTATGATATTCTACCAGCCTCTATACCCTACCGGTACTGGTGCGTGCCATCAGTCCCGACTTAGCCAGCGAGTTCGGCCTCTACTGGCTCAGTGGTATCTCGATGCTTCCCCCATCTACCAGAGGTGTTAGAGACTATTGTTGGGCGAGAAATGTCCTGAATTTGGCTCAGAGGTCCCCTTAGGACATGAGGTTCTTTTATGTGCTGCAAAGCTACAACACGGGACCCACGGCTTAAAGTCCCTCCCGGAGGACTTGTTCCCTGAATTTTTTTGCCCTTAAAAATTCCACGACCTCCGCCGGGTTTGAACCTGCGTACCTTGAGTCACGAGGTGGGAACGTTACCCCTAGACTACGGAGGCCGCTTAAAATCTATGTAACTTATATTTATTGAATTACACTGTACGAAACTTTCATAAATTGTTATACATTTCTTAAAAATTTATTTTGCTACACTAGTTCATGTTCCATGTGTTGTCCCCAAAGATTGTGAACTTTATACAACTGCAGAGCAAAATTATTAGAGTTTCTGTAACCATTCAAGTGGAAGAGTGCTTCATTGGAGAGCTGTGTGACAATCATGACACCAGACTTTCCTCCAGTATCACATTTTTCTTCCTCACAAAAGTGTTAATATTTTGCTGTTCCATCTTCTGACAATGGCTGACTCAGCTGAATTTTTTATGGGAGCAATGAGAAGTCATTATGACAAATATTCCATGCAGTGCTGGTTGAGTCCCCAATTTGTTGTGCTAAATTTCTCACACTTTCTCTTGGATTTGCTGTTTTTGCCTCCTTTGCAGTGCAACTTCTGCCATGCAAACAGATGCACTATATTTACATCCCTTCACATGTTTATCACCGACACTTCCTGTTTCTTTGAACTGTGTAACAGACTGATAGATGGTGTATCTTGGCTGTGCAACACCAACAGAAAACTCGCAAGGATACTGTCTGTCCACAGCAACAAAACGAATACCATCAGAAGAGTATGGGGCTGTGATGTCAAACACATTCTGGTCTGTCATATGTGACACCATCTTGTCATTCAGTTCAGTGTTGCCAATGGCAACAAACAAATTTCCCAAGTTTGTAGAATGATCTGTAATAGTTCCACACAGTAGCATTCAATAACAAAGAAGCTATACAAATCTTTGGGTTTTCGGACTTTATCCATCGTCCTGGTTTTTAAGATAACTAAGAAAAACACGACGTTTCGGAAACTGGATCTGTTTCCGTCCTCAGGTGAGGATCCAACAGAATAGGTGTTTTCCCTCATCTGAGGACGGAAACAGACCCAGTTTCCGAAACGTCGTGTTTTTCTTAGTTATCTAGTTACCCAATATCTCTGTGTGTTATACACCATCGTCAGCATCCTATAGTAACTACTTATACAAATCTTGATGCGTCATATGATAAAAGCATTCTGCACATTAATCAAAATGTGCTGAAATATGTCTTAAATTTTCAGTGAAAGAAGCAACTATGGTTGGTCAGCATCTACAAGAGAGATAAAGGACCATAATTAGGAAGGTGGGGAAGTTTTGAATGCTTGAATTATCAGTGAATGTGATTCATATATAAAAGAGACTCCCTAAACTGATAATAGATTGGATGTCACTTGGGTAAAAGAATGAGAGAAGGCAATGTGATGCAGACACTGTGAACTGAAAGCTGCTGTTAGAATAAAATCACTTTATTGGTATTGAACAGACACTGAACATCTCCATAGAATTGTTTAATATACTATTTAATATAATAACATAGTTGGGCTAGAGGCCATGAGTTCGGTCACCACAAGTCTCCACTGCAAATATTTATATTTCTCAAACAACGACCTGGCCACATTTGTCCTCCAGATGACTTGCAGTGCTCCTGTATTTGAAACAACTATATGAAGTCAAGACATTAATATAGTTCACAAGACGATCGACAGAGAGCAGCAGAACAGCAGCTTTAAATAGACCCCTCTGGTGTGACTTTTATGAACTGTTTGTAGCCAGGAGCAACTGATTATACTGGTAATGCTGCAAGCTGGAAAGCATAGTAGTTCAAGCTAGGGGTGAACATAATTGTATACATATTCTGGACTTCCATGAACACCTACCAGAATTTAAACACACAACAGCATCTGTTGTTATGAGACATGGATACTATATAATGAAAAACATTCACGGCCAAATTTAGAGTCTCTTTATGAGTAAATGAGTGAATGCAGACAATGCAAATAAAACTTGCAATCATCACGATAGTGGAAAATGTATTTACAGCTCAGGCTTCAAAAATGTATCAGATAAACATACTTTTTATACAAAAATATATATTACACTGAAAATAGCAGCCCAGTCATGGAGTCATAAGTCAGTTTTCCTTCGCTATAATTTGACACTTACTGTATCCAACTTTGCAGGAAACATAACGTCAAGAAGCAAATTTTGAACAGTCACATGCATCTGACAGGACAGGATGAGAAGAGAATTATGTGAACTTAAATCCATGAACATGCTATTACAGATATCGCAAATAAAAAATAATTTACCCATCTCATTGCATGGGAATATTAAATTCTGCATTTTCTCAGGGCATTCACTGCACTTCACATTTTAGTATAAAACATCTGAGTGCATTCAAACATTTGCCTTAAAGGCACCAGATAGCAAAGTCATGGTATAACTTTCTGCACTGTAAAAAAGCCTACATAAAAAAAGGACTTAAATAATGGCTTGAAAATAAGGCAAATCACTAAATACGAATCATTCATCATAGTTACAGATGTGTTCCATATAAAATTTTTATAACCGTCCAGATTCATAGTTGGTTCAAGGTGAGAAGAATTTTTATTTTATATCTGATTGGTTTCTAGAGTCAGTCTTTTGGACAAACCACAAATAAACCTATATTTGCGATTGCCAAATTTGGAGTTGTTGCTGATTAAAGTTGTTGTATCATTTTGTGCAAGATCAGTGATGATTAAAATTGTAACATAATGTTACAGGAACAGTGAGCTAGGTTACACTGACAAGTAAAACTCTGCCCCTATTCCATTCCAGAGATGGAACCTCATGAAGCAGGGACACTCTTAATAGAATGGCTCTTGTGATAATATTGGATACTTCTTTTCTCATCTCGGTGTTTACAAGAACTGCTGGTGAGTATGACAGTCAAGTACAGAAATCTTTATTTTGATGATACTGGCCCTGCTGTCAATGTTAGACACATAATTCCAAGAGGAACTTATTTTATTGTTTTCATGGACTGACACCAGCAGTACTGGTTCCTGCACTTTTATTCATAATTTTGTTTGTTCTTGTTATTGTTACTGTTATTATTATTATTAAAAAATGTGCCTCAACAACTTCACCTGGCATATCTCTAGGACTTTTGGACAAGTGTGTTATCAAGAGTAATTCAGAGCTCCAACAGATGGCATCAGGACTGACTGAGCCGAAGCATGCCCCAGTACCACAAGCGGCAGAATCAGGAGGCTCCAGTGGATACCAAGTGCAATCACCCCTGCAGACGCAAGGGCACTGGCTGCAGTTTCTAGGCAACTGTGGAACTCTGGGTAGTCAAGCCTAGTGATGGCACAATAATGTGTATGTGCACAGCTGGCATCACATCCTTCTGTGCTGTGATAAAATTTCACAGAATTGGCTCGGTAATATCTGCAACACAAAATGAAATAACTGACTCGGTGTGAAATGGTTGCCTGAAAGTTGACCCCCACGAACAGAGAGAACAGCTTGATGAGGTCATCTTAACTTGGTACTGTTAAGTTGTCTAAGAAAGAAAGGTTGAGCTAAGCCAGATTTATAGAACATACTGGGATAGACGGGCAAGCATACATGCACAACCCCACCTCCCCAACACATACACACAAGAATCTCATACAAAACTGCAGGGCTGTGAACTCTCCCCAAAATAGGTCATTTGTGACTCCAAGACATCAAAAGGAGGAGGTTCAAAGTAAAGTATTTCCTTTGAAGATACATGGGGAATTGGAGGTATAGATTCATGCACTTTTAACATCAGTATTAAGTAGAGGTGAGTGGTCAGCTTCAACCACGGCCTGCTTTTGCCTCAAAGATAGATCATCTATAACCATTATACAGAAGGAGAAAAGAGGCCCAGAAGTTGGTTGCGCTTGGTGGCAAAGAGAAAACATCTTGTTCCTGCCTACACTCAGATTGAGATGAAGATAAAATGGATTGCAGAGAAATGAGTCATAAAGCCATGAGTTCACCTAAGTACCCCATCAAGGAAACACTGCCTTCATTGAAAGCATGGGACTACTGAAGAGTTAACTCAGGAAGGGAACATGGATACAGGATAGACTGAAGGAAGTAGCAATGTAAGGTCTAGTATTGCTCACTACCACTACTACTACTACTACTACTACTAAATCAATATGCTGTGAGAATGTAGGCTTGCCGGAAGTAAGAGATGAAATTAGATTTGTTTTTTGGTGATTGTGATTATCAATTGGGTTCTTTTGTAGCGGTGACTTTCTGCAATATCTGACTGATCAGAGCAGACTCCGCATCTGTAGTTGGGTGTGCAATTCAATTTCTCTTCATCATTTGTCTCTAGGATGAGGGTATACTATTAAATGGCTTTCTGACAGTTAGAATGTGAAGGTGTGGGATGAATTCAAGTGCCTCAGGATAATGTCCAGTCACAGGTTCTCTGAACATGAACCTTTGGAGTCCATGAAAGGTGGGGAATAACTAGACCAGCTGTTCAACTACCAGATTCTCAAATGAGTGTGATCAATGGAATTAGTTTGCTTCTAGGAAGTTGGAGAAACCAGATCATTGTATGAAACAGTAATTTATTATATTCTGTATTTAATTTATTTCATCTTACTGGTTTAATATTATTTCAGTCTGAAAAAAAGGACAATGTTACCAAGGTTCATGAAATTTTCAATGGGGCTTGTAAAGGTATAACCACTGGACAGCAAGAACATGAGTAGCCAGACACAATGGGTCACCACATTAAGGACATCTTCCTACATTAGTGTACATAATCATAAAAGATGATTTGATAACTGAAGTTTCTCTTGCATGATTTATGGAAGTAAAACTGAAAGTGAATTGATACGGATTAGGGAGGAAACTGCTGTGGCATGTTTTATACTATTATAACAGCTTCATGGTCACCCATTCAAGGAGTCCTACGGAGTGTGTAAGATCTAGAAAAACTGAAGGGAACGGAGAAGTTCATGGAGGTAGGCCTAGGCCCACTGGGGCTGTAGTGCCAAAGGAAAAAAATGGCTTCATGGAAAATGGTTTTGGAAAACCATGGAATATAAATGTGATGTTAATGCTTGAGAGTTCTATCTATATTTCATCTGGTGTAAAAATATGTTGGAAATTATGTTATAGAAGGATCTTATGGAGACTAAAATAAAACCAGCATTTCAAAGTCAAAATTTCTGTTATGATGCACAATAAGATTGTGTGCATGGTGCATGCTATGAGCTTCGTCATACTCACAAGAATGCATGTTATGTCTACTTGACTGTAATTGATGTAAATTGTAAATTTGTAAATTGATGAAATTTATTACATATGAGTTTAATATTAGGATGTTTTAACTCTTCTTGTCTTCAGAGTCCAGGAGATTAAAATGCTGTTTAGAACTCTGTTATTTTTAAGTTACTTTATGCCCTGCAGGCGGAACATAGATTTAGGGTGTACTGAGAAAAAAAAAGTACTGGATGTTTGGAGAGCACGAAAATGATGCAAGGGCCTTTGCAATTTGTGATGGTAACCTGATGTTAAATCATTAAATGCAGTTTGTTTCATGTGAGTTGGAATCAGCTGAAACAGTTCTTCTCATATAGCACACCTGGAAAAAAGTGCTGATCCTTCCTGCACTCCAAAGCTCTCCACCAGATTATGCAGCTCAGAAGCTGACACCTCATTCAAGCCATAATAATCAGTGAGGTTGTACTCTGGCAGCCACTCTGCTGCATTCCGCAGGTTGGCTGCATTGAGGTCCAGATAATACTGCCTGTAGTCCAGCACCTGTTTCAGTGAATCAAAACAAACCAAGATGTTCATCTATTTCTCTTTCTTTCCATGGGTTATTTTACAACTGTTTTTGAGTATTAAGCCTTCATATTTATAGCCTCAGATGGTAGGATGGATGGTGAACTGGAAAGGACTTGGAGAAAATGAGTCAGCATTATCAAGGTGTATTATCTCGAAATCTTTCTGGAGGGACTGAGGAAAGCCATGAAAACCTCTGTCAAGATAGCTGGTGTCCTGGCTCAGGATCAAAGAGAGCAACTCTTGACTGTAAGTCTAGAGCTTTATTTCTAGGCCAGCCTGTTTGGTGCTCAACTGTCATTAGTGCAAGGCCTCGGACAATTCGAATCATTAGGTAGATTGCTATCAAAGCATTCCTGATAACAAGGAGTGGCATGATAATGTTCATTTTAGCTGGAATGTATTATATAAGATAGAGAGCATGATGGGCCCTCTTCATCATGAAGTAAATAAGTAAATACTTATACTTGTACTTATAGCAAGAACATAAAGGAAAGCCATAGAAACTTGATAATACCGGAATGGAAAACTAAACTTGTTTCACTCTTTACATGTACTACAGAATCACTGATTGTTTTCATTCTGTGGGCTGATATTTAAAATTATGGAGGGGCTACTTTATGATACATAAGTGGGAAAAGTCACACTGAACTCCCATACAAGGGACATATGCCCAACTAGTGAGTACATACATGTGACAGGTGGCATGTAAGTACATAAGAAAATACCAAATTCGTATAATGAAACATCTTTGCAGCTGATAATAAACATATGTTATACATGCATGCCGCAAAAGGAAAATAATGCGGAACAGAGAGAGTGAGAGCTTTGTTCTCAAACAAACGTATTTTTGTGTAAACAACGATAATGCAATAAAACTAAAATATATTGACTTAAGATCTAGTGCAGTGCGACAGTTTCAAAAAGTGAACAGTTGCCTGAAGATGGCCAAGTAAGCTGAAAAATGTAACAATTGATGTGATTTTAGTGTTATTTTAAATTAAAAGGAGATTGTGAACAGTTTTAAGTTGCATTAAAGACAGAGGCGAAGAAGTGAGTGATGCATCAATGCAACAGGATGCTCAAATATAATAGAATAATGTCAGAATTACAGCCTTCCAAATGAGATATTTTATGCATTATTATAGAGCGCACATGTTCAACGTGTCGATCGCAGGACGAATTTTGGTTGATCTCATAGGCCTATAAGGAAATTATACGTGAAAAGCATTTTTTCTGTTCTTAACTAACAAGGTAAATCTGTACTTTCAATATATGTTGCTTTTACAACAAACATCATGTGTCGTGTTATTTTTACCAATATTTTTGCTTAAAGTGAGGTACGACCATAGGAGGGGGTGGTAGATCACTGGCAGTTTTGACACTAAAAAGTCGATCACAACCTGTTTGAAGTTGGACATGCCTGTTATAGAGGCTGGGGGAGAGTGAATGGGGAACTGCAGTGTAAGAACCAGTCCAGATAAAGTAGCCCATCCATAATTTTAAATATCAGCCATAGAATGAAAAAATCCATAATTCTGTAATACTTGTAAAGACTCAAACGTGTGTAATCTTCCGTTCCTACATTATCAAGTTTCCATGGCTTTAATTTCATGTTTTTTTTTCTTTTCTTATCATACCGTTAAATTAGCTGTTATTTGCAGTCTTCTTCTGACTTATTCATTTCATACTTTATCCATACTTTATTCCAAACAATGAAGTTAATACTTTAAACAAATTAACTAACAAAAAACCTGTGTCATTAACAAACAAACAGTCTGCTTACCTGGCCAGTGTCTGTGTCAAACTTATAAAGTCGCAACCCTGGATTGTTGGCACCACTTGGAGTCCTCTTGGGCGAAACAGCAGGGGCGATGAAAATCCACGATACCGGGTGACCTGGGAACATTTGACATGGAGATCATGAATATACGTAGAAATTTCTTACGAAACATTCCTTGCATATTGAAACTAATGAATATGACAACAAAATAAAAGTTTGGTATCACAATGATGCTTTCTCAACTTCACAGCTTATGTAATGTGTACTGATGGTCTCACTGGGAATGACAAAAATGGAGAAAAACGATAATGGCATTTTAAGTTTCTATTTCAATGTCTGAGTGGAGGAACTGAGTGAAACAACGCAAGCCTCAGACAAGACAGAACTAACTTCATGGAGCTGAGTCCTTCTTGAGAAGCCGCCAGTCGCTCAGCTACTCAAGAAAATACCAAACATTTCATGGAACCCTCTGGTTCACTACCGTGTTCACAAAAGCTTTCCACTGGTCACTGTCATGAGCCAGAATAATATAGTCTATATCTCCTCATCCTATTTACCTAAGATTCATTTTAATATTTTCCTCACACCTATATCTAGGTCTTCCTAGTGGTCTCTTTCTGTCTTGCTTTCCCACCAAACTCCTATATGCATTATTCTCCGTCCCATGCGTGCTACTTTCCTAGCCCATCTCATTCTTCTTGACTTGATCATTCTAACCGTATCTGGCGAAGAATACAAGTCATGAAGCTCCTCATTATGCTGTTTCTCCAGTCTCCTGTTATTTCATTGCCCTTCGGTCCAAGTGCTCTCCTCGGTAGCCTGTTCTCAAATGCATTCGGTCACTCAGGACGTCACAACAGCGAAGTAAGAATTTTACCACTAACCCGAGAAGTTCGGTTCGGTTCAGTTACCATCTGGCCCACTGATGTAACTGATTAAACTGGGGGATGGCGTGACAGACAGACAGACAGACAGGTACGGTTCGATAATAATATGCGATGAACTAACCTCCTCTTTGGCTTCTTTGGTTGAGTTATTCCATGCAGGGCTGCCACTGAAAGGGAATTGTTATCGCAATTTCCCTCCATAATCTATTACGTGGTAAAATATGAAGTAACGTTCCTTGACAAGGGATGCTTCGCTATAAATTTCATGTCTGTGAAGGGTCGTAAGTTACGCCGCTGTTACACACTACAGCTCCACAAGAATCGATCGCGTTGTTGCTCCACCTCGGTATAGCGAGAGCGTAGCGGGTTGCGTTACACGCAGGCGATAGCTGTATAAGAGTACGCAGTTCGTTAGTATGGGTGAAGCGACTGACCGCCTCTGTGCTCTAGTGGTCAGAGTTTCTGGTTACAATTCCAGAGGTCTGGGTTCGATTCCCGGTGCTACCAAATTTTCTGAGAAGTAGTGGGTCTGGAACGGGGTCCACTCAGCCTCGTGAGAATAATTGAGTTATGTCAAGGAAATAGCGGCTCCGGTCTAAAAGACCGAGATTAACGGCCGTGGGGATTCGTTGCCCTGACCACGAAACACTCTCTATCAGCAGAAGTTGGCACTAATATGGCAGACAAGCGGCGGTCGCTCGGTCGGTATAGTTCGCTTGCGGACTGAAATCAGGGGGTTTGTTTTTATTATGGGTGACGCGACTGTTGACATTGAGGTACTCGGTATCTCAGCGAAAATTCCATGGGCTCCGTTACAGCGCATGTGCGCATGTCACTATTCGTTTGTTTTGCGAGTCTATGCAGCGTCTGAGATGAAGGATGAATCGGTAGGAAAATTAGTCCAGTTTAAGGCACATTCCAGTAATTTGTCTACAGGAACTAAATGGAAACAGGAAAAGCGGAAGCATAATCGATATAAAACCGAGATTTAAACCAGCCACCTTTCGATAATAAATCGAAAGTTTACGGCGTTCCACTCAGCTGTCTGTGTGTGTGTTTGCTGTTGTATTTGCATACTAAACTTGAAGAATTATACCATGTCTCACTCGCCGAAACTGAAATTGTATTCGTCACTGCCAAAGCTTTCAAAAAGAAATATATTAGTATTATAACAAATTCCTTGGCCTGAAGTCCGCAAACGAACTATACCGACCGAGCGATCGCGCTTGTCGGCGAAGTTAGTGCCAACTTTAGCGGATAGAGGGTGTCGCGTGGTCAGCGCAACGGATTCCCACGGCCGTTAATTTCGGTTTTCTAGACCGGACTATTAGTACTATATTAAGTGTAATCGTTTCAACTCGTTTATTTACATTTTTAGTCCCATTTATCTAGCCACTCTATGGTTGGCGTAAGAGAAAATAGTTTAAGGTACTACCTACATTGTTAACACCAACTAAACCAGGGATATAGAAAAGACAAAACACCCGTTAATGTAATGACTATTGTAAAATTCTGGGCACCAGCTCGCGAATTCTATTCGTTTCAGGCGAGCAGGCGACAATATAATTTTTTAAAAACTGTGTGTATTTATTTTGTGTGTGTGTGTCTTATAGCGGGAGAGTTTCGTAATTAATTGAAGCCAGTGGAGCGGGGGTAACCAGCCGCGCTGATCTGATCCAGTGGGCTAGAAGGCTTCCTCCTTCAAATCGTATTTCACACCCACTGCCCACGCACGCACGCGCGCACATACACAGCTTCTTTGAACTGGGGATGCTCAAAATTGAGTCACGTTTCTTGTTGACAAGACTGGAAAGTTTTAGTTTTGAAGTTCTGAAGGTGGTGACTATGAAGCTTACCGGCTTCTGGATAGTGGCTTCATATAGTCTGGTAGATGTTTAATAATGTTTCGAAGGAACATGCTTTCTCCATCTTCATAGTAGAGGAATGCATTGAATATGGAGGCAAGAAGTTCTTCTTAAACGTCAGTAAATATATACCAGTTGCACGGCGTGACATCGCAGAAGAGAAGAAATTATTAATTTCATAACATCCTAAGATTCATAATATGAAGATAGCTATCACGTGACTTATTTTCGATGTGGTCCGCGCCATGTCCAGTGCTAAGAAACAGAACTGTAAACATGTGTACAATAATAGGTGATTTCTACGGTGTCCGTGCCGAAGGTTTCTATGGGACAGCGAAGATCGTTTGCAGTCAGTCATAGCTGAGAAGTCGCGAGTCGGACCGTCTACGCTGGAAGGCCGAAGCCTATTCTCGTTGAAGAGAACAAAAATCTTTTGGGCGTTACACTTAGTGTTCTCGCCTCGGTCCGATCTGATGTATTACATAGACGTTCAAAACAGACAATAGTCAGTCTCCGTCTGTGAGAGGGAGGAGGCCTGCTGCTCTGTTCAGTCAGAGCACCCACACTGAAAGCCCGATACCGCCTCTCGCCGACACCCCCTTGCCACGCAGCGACAGGGTAAGACACAAACCAGAAGGAGATCGCGTAAACTACTTTAGGAAAGTAGGCTAAAAATTCCCATTAGTTCTGAAACTTCCTTTGCCGAAAGAGAAAAGAATTGTTTCCATTCCTTGCATTGGGGAAAAGAGAGTTGTGAACTCCGATTTCTTGCATGGGATCGAACCGAAATTTCGGCATATCACTTTCCCCTCACCGTTTCTTTTCTTATCATCTTAAATTCATTGCCTTCATTTATTTTGGCGCTAAATAACCCCTGTAGTTCATACAGCGACGATAGATGTCACACGTGAGCAGAACGCCAAGTGGGTGCCATTCCTGCTAATTAGTTTCCAGGCTCCGTCCGCAGGAACGTGACCGCATTCCGGGCGTCTCTGCTCGGAATGTCCATGTATCACTGAGCTGAAAGGAAAGCGATTCGCTCAGACGGAAACGAGCTCAAGCTGCAATCGTTTAAGTCCCCTCGGGGATTCTTTGTGTACCCGGATTTCTGCGGTTTGCCGACGACGACAACTGCGGAAATATTTGGAAAGAAGCAAAGCAGTGTAGTGTTTGCTGGGTTAACGATATGTTGAAAAATGGAAGCAGTCCACTTCTGAGGGAAGGAAAATGGACTTCAAGGCTCATAGATATCTTATTATGTGGCAAGTAAAAACCGACTTATTGTTCTGTCAAAGGTATTTTTTTCCTCTGAGTCTACACTGTTGCCACGTGAAGACTTTTCCTTTAACAAACAAACAACAAACTCCGTGGTTTTAGTCCGCAAGCGAACTATACCGACCGAGAGACCGCCGCTTGTCGGCGAAGATGGTGCCAACTTTTGCGGACAGAGAGTGTCACGTAGTCAGCGCAACGCATCCCCACGGCCGTTAATTTCGGTTTTCTAGATCGCAGTGACTTCATTACTCATACACGTTAAAATGTTTCTTCCTACTTGTCATATAAAATACAAACTTTGTAGTGAAAGCAAAGTAGGCGATAAGTTCTTCCCAGAACTTCTTGTTTAGAAACATGAGTAGCTCGGTCAGTAAACGTACTGAATACAAACATTAACACAGTTCTCTCCTTACCACTTCCATGGAATATATCAAACTTCAATCCAGCGTTTACCGGGATATGTTTTCCTGGCTGTAACACGGTTCGCGTTGTACAGCTGACGAATCGAAACGTTACGGAGGGAGAAGAAAGAAACTCTTGCAGGTACAAAACCTGAGGTATTACAGACATCTTACCAGTGTCGCTGTAGACGATGCGGAAGGAGTCTGAGTGCAGGTGTCCGAAGAACTGACCCACGATTATGTCTGAATATTTCCGGACAAGCTTGAGGTATCTCTGGTTGAACCTCTCCTGGAAGACGTCGTGGTAAGGTGATATACCACCGTTCTGTCGTTCGTCAACCCCTGGAGGCATATGCCCAACCAAATATACCTGCGCACAGAAATGATGACGTCATTATCCAATTGCCTCTGTCGTGTCTGTTTATTTATTAAAAAAAAAACACATTTAGTAGATCAGACTATACACCACCACGTCTGCACTCTCTAGAAATAACAAATTTAAAATGTTAACACCTTAAATATAATTTTTGGTCTTATATTTAAGCATCCTGTTGCACTCTATACGATAAATGATATGAAATATCATAAAATCATCATATGAAATATAAATGTTAAATTTTAAACTAAGTGTAGTGTAACAGCAACGTGAGTGTATACACCTGATGATGGCCGTTTGAGGCCGAAACATATAGTGTAAAGGAGAGAAAGATCAAGGATATATAATATATTGTTTGCATTTTGGATGGAGTTCATATCATTTATAATTTTTGGTATTTTTCACAATTGATGTTAGAATTAGCAACTAGAACTCATAATAATTTTCTACATATTTATCTTAAGACCTGAAAATAAGGCAGTCCCTCTTTTTTAAGAAAGAGTATTTGAAAGAAACCCTTGACTCATATTCGGATTAAAACGGAATTTATCAGTTGTGCAAGTGGACACTCCTCTTTTCCAAAGTTCTATGGGCTGGATCTGCATAACTAGAATTCTGTAATTTTCACAGACTTTAACTTAAACAAAGTTTGATTTGCTTAACATTTGAAGACATGAAACTTTCGTTCCTTCTACAGACCGTACGAATTTCAAACTGCATTAATAGAACAAAGAAGATAGGCTCATGAACATAAAGATTATAAAATACTCTCCTTCACGTCTTACACCAGTGCCAAGATTCCTAATTAATCATCTAGTGATTATTATAGAAAATGTAAAGAAATTTGTGGATTACACCAGTAAAAGCGGGACAGTTTTTTTTTTGGAACTGCCAACACCACAAAACGGCATGTCAAATTTGACCGAAATTAATTGTGAGTAGTTATTTCCTTTCACAGGCAAACGTAGCTACCAGTTTTACATATAAGTTGTAAAATCCAACGGCAAGCCTTACCAAATAGTTGCTAAAAATACGGTTAGAAAGATACATTCCGTTTTATTTGCAATTTTACCTTATCTGATGTGATGTTAATTTGTTACACATGTAAATCTACTCGAAATGCTACTTATCAGCAGTAATAATACGAACTACCGTTCCCGTGAATTTAATTAAACATATAGGCAAATATTTTAAATAAAAGTTATTTTAATGTTGTGTACTATGTACCAAATTTTGTTCCTTTTTTAATTTTTCTTTTTACATCTCATAAAGTTCGATTCGACATTTCATCATGAAGAAAGGTCTTATACTGGACCTTTCCAGACTAAAATAATTTTGTGAGATTTGAGGTTTTCACGGCGGTTACTATGAAGAAAGCAGTCTTCTGGAATGTGGCGCCGTGTAGATATTGTGCTAACCGACGTTTCAGAGGAACGTATCGCCTCAATCTTCAGGATATAAGGAAAAAAAGGAGAATACCAGCGAGCGATGAACCAGCGTGAGCAGTTGCTAACAGACTAATGAATCTGTTATCACCTGCTCACGCTGGTTCATCGCTCGAGGTTTTATTCTTTTTCCTTATATCCTGAAGATGGAAGCATACGCTCCTCCGAAACGTCCGTTAGCACAATATCTACACGGCGCCACATCCCAGAAAACTGCTTTCTTCTTAAAATAATATTCGTTAGAGAAGTTTCAGTGCAAATCATCGGCATAAAATAAGATCGAAATTAATTGAGTAGTTTCGGAGACGAAACCTGAGACTGGATAAATATTACCCACCCACACGCAATGCAAACGAAGCATAAAACCATTAAAGTGTCAAGAACTCTACGTAGTACGAAATATTCTCACAAAAAGTATTCTGTTCTCAGCAGAAGCAGTGTTAAGAGTTTATTGAGCAGCTGAATTGGTGCTTCCTGCTTCAGCTGCCATAGTCAGTGAAATCTGAGACACATCGCTCGCTTTTCCTATAAAGAAGCCGCCTGAAGACCTGAAGAGACAGCGATTCGTAAGGGGCAGACTCCTCGAAACTTCGAAACGTTACGTTATACAACTTCTGTTAGGCTAACCATATTGGCACATGTTGGTGACTTGACACATGAAGTGTTGGGTGATATAACGACGCTTTCCCAGCTACACAGGCTATTTAGTGCAGAATATTGGAACTGTCGTGAAAGGATTTGAAATGATATGACAGGAAGGGGCTGTTACCTATCTGAAGGTACTATCTAAGGTAAGTAAGTAAAGCTATCCCTGTAACAGGCCATGGAGGCCGATAGGGTTGTGAGACGTCGAGGCTCCCACATTTTTTAGACAATCGGCTCACAGAAGGGGGTGAGGTTGTCAGCCTTACGCGCCGGCCACCATTTAGCCCTCATGAAGATGTCTGGTACTCATTTATGTTAGAGGCTGAGTCGACCAAAAGATCACAGTACGGATGGAAGGATTAGGTCAATTGAGAAATACAGTGACTCCATCAGGATTCGAGCCCCTGACCTTCCGGCTTGTAGCATAGTGCCTCAACCAACTACGCCATCTCGGGGTCCTCTAGAGCAGGCAGTGCGAATACTAACCACTCAACCATGAGGTTTATGAAGGAAGAAGCGACTGTTTGTATATGATGAACAAATATAAATCTCGCATGTTCGTTGCTGTCTGTATTATTCGCGAAAGCTCCGAAGTACAAACCATGTGACCGAGTGATTGAATTTTATCTGCTCAGTATACTGTTCTGCGCATTTAGTCAACTTACGGTCTCCCTGTTGCCCTGCGACTTTTGCAACGTGTCGTCGAGCCAGGCCCATTGGCCCGCCGGGTCCTCCTCGTTACCCACGATGTCGGAGCACAGGTTCGTGTTGAGCATCACAAGGCGGAGTTTCTGCACCTTCTGCTCAATCGTGTAGTAGCCCCCTGTGAGCACCACAACATACAGTCTGAGAAACAAGAACTCATTTTCTCTCTTGTACGGTTCAGATGGCAAGATTCCTGCGGATTCATTAGGTTCCACGTGGAAAATATTTAAAAAGGTAACAATTTTGTTTCCAGAACATTTTGTCCTCTCGTCTTCTGTCTAAAAGCATAAAAATTACAATATACAAAATTATATTTTTGCCTGTGGTTTTGTATGTGTGTGAAACTTGGTCTCTGACAGTAAGTTTGGAACCTAGACTGAGGGTGTTTGAGGACAGGGTGGTGAGGAGAATATTTGGACCGATGAGGGATGAAGTGACAGGAGGTTGGAGAAAACTGCATAATGAGGAACTTCATAACTTGTACTCTTCTCCAAGTATAATTATAATGATCAAGTTAATGAGGATGAGATGGGCATGGAATGTAGCACGGATGGGAAGAAGCGGAATGCACATAGGATATTGGTAGGAAAGCCAGAGAACAAAGAGACCACTGGAAAGACCAAGACGTAGGTGGGTGGACAATATTAAAATTGATCTTAGAGGGATAGGATGAGATGGGATGGTATGGACTGGGCTGATTTGGCTCAGGATAGGGACCAGTGGGGGGCTCTTGTAATGAACCTTCGGGTTTCATAAAATGTTGGGAAATTCTTGAGTAGCTGCACAACGGCGGCTTCTCAAGAACGGCTCAGCTCCATGGGTGAGTGAAGAATTTTGTTATTTTTAAAGAAAAAAGCGACAAAGAAAAAGCACGTCACTAGACACTGGATTTTCCGCTATACCTTCCATGTCTGTGTATACCTTCATCTTCGGACTCACCACGCACTAGGCGGTACGTAGCAACGGGTTATTTACACTCCCTATTGTCCTGAGCACAACTGTGCGCAGGCGTAAGCAGCTGTCTGCAAACTGATTCGTATACTTTGAGATATCAAGTTTGTGAGAATGGGCGTTTCCTGAGCAGTAAGAGCACAGCGGATACTACAAAAATAGAGACTACAATAAATAGTCGTGACTTACATGAAAACTGCCACGGAACTAGCGACTGAAGACAAGTAAGTTCACCCTCACTGGGTTTTGTCTTGTGCAGTTGCTTCATCTTTCGCAGTCTCGTTTTCTGAAGGCTATTTTATTCTTACAACTCCATAATTCTACGTGTAATTTAGTTTTGTTCCCAGGCGGAGGCTTTCCATTTCACCACCGTATCCACCAAACTGGTTAGTGATGACTTTCTAAATTTCTTTTCGGGAGGTGTTGAGTTCGAATCTTTACCGGCTATCTTTGTGGTTTCTCTCAGTCCCTCCAGTAATATTCTTGACAGTACAGTGATTAGGTCACACCCGTTTCCTACCAAATCCCTTCCAATTAATCAATCATCATATTATCAGTTGCTATTCGCACTAACTTCGCCGACAAGCGGCGGTCACTCGGTTGGTGTAGTTCGCTTGCGGATTCAAGCCACGGAGTTTCTTTTTGTTTTTATATATGATTTCGATGATGACAGCGTCGTTACAGACCGGTACTGAGACCCCGTGGATATCGGGGCTCTTTCCCTTGTGAAGAAGCATCTGCGGGGTGAGCATTCATCTCCGTATCACTGCGAGATTATGGAAACTTAGGGCGGTGCCTCAGTTGTCTTATACGTCTTCATGGCCCGGTACTTAACCAGAACAGGGACAAGTTATGGGAATGGATAATGAATGAATGTATGTATAAGGAGTGGGCCTCCTCGGCCCTTGCACCGCGACCTACAGTGGTCTATTGTGCTTCCCCTTTTGATTATCCTCTCAGCAATCCGGCGCTTCGAATGAAGCGTAGGATTTTGTACGTGGGGACGTCAAAATAGTCACTTGGTTCCATAAAGTATTGATCCAAGTGACGTAGTCTTAAATAAGCTAAGGCCTCACATTCACACAGGACGTGTGTGGCTGTTTCATTTTCTTCTTGACACCTCTCACAAGTGGGACTATCACTTAGTCCCAGTTTGAAGAGGTGTCCTTTAAGGTGACAGTGTCCTGTAAGTAGTCCCACTACCCATCGTAGCTGGTTCCTGATTAACTTCAACAGTTCCTTCGCTCTACTAGCTGAGGGTCCTCGTATGAGTCCCTTTGCTTGGCTGAGTCCAGTCAAGGATCTCGAGTATTTCTTGTGATTCATATGAGAAGGGATAGACAGCGAATGCCTTTTTGTACGATTGTAAAGAAAAAGATCGTCTGTAAATGGGCTGCAAAAGAAATTTGTTTTACATTCTGAAGAAGCAGCGACAGTATGACATCAATGAGAGATTTGTAAACTGGAAGAAAAGTAGAGGGGTCCTGAGGCCGGACGTTTCGAACCCCCCCCCCCCAACNGGTTATGCTATGGGCTCTACGAAGGGCAGATAGAATTGCTGGTAATGTCCAATCTCCGCGTCAGATCTGGTTCTCGTGATCCCATGCGCCGCTCACTTAAAATAGCCTATCCTCATACCGCGCACTTCAATGTACATTTCTGAGGGAAACAAAAATGTTATATAGAGAAAGGTGCACGAGGCCGGGTCGTGACGTAAAATGGAAGGGAGCAGACGCACGCACGCACGAACACTGAATGCATTAAAACTAAGTACGCGGAGGGTTACATGGTTTTAGTATTTGGAAGCCAGAAAACCCGAGTCATGCTTTGTTCGAAACTGAAGCATTTCTTATATCAAGGCATGCCAATTTGCTATGGACTAGCAGATTTTAATAAAATCAAAAGAGTAGGTGTGTCCCAACCCTCTCACCTGAGGACGGAAACAGATGCAGTTTCCGAAACGTCGTGTTCTTTAGTGTTCTTTAGAATATCGGAAGATGGAGAAACTCCAAAAACGCAGTAATCCCAATTGCTACGGACTCTTCCTCCCTCCCACCCCCTCTCTCTCTCACACACACAAACACACACGCACAAACACGCGTGCGACTCCACTGCCAGTAGACGTAGGGCCCTGAAGAAAAGAGTAAACCTAAAAATGTCAGCTGTAAGATTTTAATTTTCTAAACTGAGTTTAGTGGGATCTGTGAATACGAAATTAAAAGCAACTTTCAAATCTATACCCCAAAATTTGAAACGGTTAATCCAAACATCATCTCTCAAATATAAAATAGACGGGGTTTTGAGATTTCGATGTACAAAGATTGAAGTCATGCATAAAAGGCTTTTACTATTTAAAGAATTCGGGGAAGTCACTGCAACTGTGGGGGAGAGCTTGAGAAATTCAATAGAAAACGCTTTCTATAGAAGGGACATAATCCTCGAATCACGCAGACACCATGCGATATGACCAGACGTTTTGACGAGAATTGGTCACTTTGCTGAAAATCATTATGCAGCGCGCTCGCTCGCATGCACAAACACATGCACATATAAGAACACAAACATACGAACACGCTCAAACACATAACACAAGCGCACAAACTTAATCACACAAACAAGCAAATAAACAAACAAACAAACACATGTAAACGTAAGAACTTACTCTTGCTCACGGAGCTGAGCCCTTCTGGAGGAGCCGCCAATTCTGCAGCTACTCAAGAATTTCCCAGCATTTTATGGAACCCGAAGGTTCAATACCGTGTTCACAGTAGCCCTCCACTGGTCCCTATCCTGAGCCAGATCAATCCAATCCTATCTCTCTAAGATCCATTTTAATATTGTCCACCTATCTACTCCTTGGACTTCCTAGTGGTCTCTTTCTTCTTGCTTTCCCACCAATATCCTATATGCATTCGTCGCCCACATTCGTGCTACATGCCCTGCCCACGTCATCTTCCTTGACTTGAGCATTCTAATTATACTTGGAGAAGAGTACAAGTTATGAAGCTCCTCATTATGCAGTTTTCTCCAACCTCCTGTCACTTCATTTCTCTTCGGTGCAAATGTTCTCCTCAACACCCATAAACATAAGAACACATACAAATACATGGACGAACACACAGTCTTGACGACACTACGCAATCAGTACATAATTCCTTCATACTGCTTTCCTACAAGACTATAAAACAGAAATAAGAATCAAGATTGAAACGGATCAACCCAAACGCAAGGAGCTGACCTTTCAGATTCTGAAGCCTCGTCATCTGGGCTTGTCTTTCCAGAGACTACGAGCACCTGCACATGCAAATGACAGAAAGGAAACTTGTGGATGATAAGACGGTCTTAGATTTCCAAATACAGTAGTGCAGAGTCTTAAAAATATCATGCAGAAGTGACCACATTGCGTGTTGGAACCGTGTTCACGGCTGCTCCTCTTCAAACTGGCTACTCTCATAACATTTGATAATTCTCGGCTGTACATTGAACAGAAGAAGAACCCCGGAAGATTGTAAAAATAAAAGAGAACGGGCGGATAGACACGTATTCTGCGTGATTTGAAAGAAATCACTTTTCATAAATAATTCATGAGCCCGGGGGGTTTGTATGGTAAGGAGGCTCTCTTTATCCGTTGCATTGCTTTCTCTGAGCCAGGGCAACACTATCAGGAGAGCATGAGTCCAACTCTCACTGTCTTTCCCTCTCCTGCACTTTCGTCTTTCCTAAATAGAGATGCATGCAAATACAAGCAGTGTAAAGGAGAGGGGTGAGGGGCAGATCAAGGTGAAATACGTTGCTACGAAGAGACGCAGGATTTCCGACGCCGTACAAAAGGTATCGGAGCCTCGACGCGTCCTATCTCAGCCTTTTATTATAGTCTAGTCGTATCCGAAAGGTTCCGAACAGCCCCAGTCTGAGAGCTTCCCACCACAATTACAGTGCGCCTGGAGCCGATAAGAATTAAGGCAGACATTCTCCGTTATCCCCGAAAGCGAGGTACGTTAGAGTCGCCACAGAGACCGTATTGCAGCTACAGCCACACAATGTAGTTCTCCAAAATCCATTTTAATAATATTCTGTAATGTAACACGAATGGGGGAGACGAGGAATGCATATAGGATATTCGTGGGAAAATCAGAAGGAAAGAGACCACTGGGAAGACCAAGGAGTAGGTGGGTGGATAATATTAAAATGGATATTAAAGAGATAGGATGAGATTGTATGGATTGGATTGTTCTGGCTCAGGATAGGGATCAGACTATAATTATGTATATTTTTATATATATATGTAGATGTGACCGCCTCTGTAGTCTAGTGGTCAGAGTTCCTGGTTACAGATCCAGAAGTCACGGGTACGGTTCTCGGCGCTACCAAATTTCTGAGAAGCAGTGGGTCTGGAACGAGGTTCACTCAGCCTCGTGAGGATAACTGAGTAGCTATTTCCAGGAAATAGCGGCTCCGGTCTAGAAAATCTAAATTAAAGGCCATGGGGTCTGTTGCGCTGCCCACGCGACACCATCTATCCGCTAAAGTTGGCACTAACTTCGCCGACAAGGGGGCAGTCTCTCGGTCGGTATAATTCGCTTGCGGACTAAACACACGGAGTTTATTTTTTGTTTATATATACGAACATAAACAGCCAAACGTACGTCCCTCTGTCTGCCCGTTCCACCCTGTTTGTTACAGAAACACAACATAGAAAAGCTGGCAAATATAAACATATTTCGCCTGTAGACACGACTTAGGGAAGTTGTTAATATTGTTTTTACATGTATGGGTTCGATGCCACATCGCCAAGCAGGTCGATTCAAGCGGTAAAGCTTCTGACATATTAGGGAAGTGCCCAGTTCGAATCCCGGCTGGTATACCGGCTGTACTGATTGAGGTTTTTCCTGGGTTTTCTTAGTCCCTCCAGGAAAATATTGGGATTATAATTTAAACTCCTTTCCAGATCGTCATTTCGCATGATCCAATTCTCTCGGTTCCTTACAGTTTGACACAGTGACACTGTCGTTAAATAAACTACAAATAAATAATTTCAGGTCAATTTCTTTTCCCAACGCTCCGCCTCAAGGACACAGCGAGTCCACACAACCTTCACGTGTTTCAAACTGACTGTGACAACAAAATCTGTTAATACCAAATTGTGGGGTTATGGGATGGTATATAAAATTAGGGAACAGCCGTTTCTTTCTATGTCCTTTTCGACTCACTACTCACCATCTCCCGGTCATTCGGCCTTACAGGGTCTGATTTACTGACAGCGGCGGCCCGGGTTCGATCCCGGGTCTGGTCAAGTGGGATTTGTGGTGGACAAAGTGGCGCTGGGGCAGGTTTTCTCCGAGTACTTCGGTTTCCCCTACCAATCTTCATTCCACCAATTGCTCCACAATCACCCTGACCTATCATCTGGGGCTGGTACAATAGGCCAGAAGTGGCCTCAGTACAAGGGGCTTAGTCCCACCCCACTAGCAATAAAAGAAAATAAAAAAATACTGACAGCGTCGTTAAATAAACAACAAATATTTAGCAGAACAAACAACCACGTTCCCTTGTGTGACTTTATGTTTGGATTTGCACTGTATGTACTTTGTTTGTTGTATGTTCTTTGTTTTGTATTGTTCCCTTTATGTGTAGTCTTTCCTTGTCTGTATCAGTGTAAGACCTACCCACCGCGTGAATATCCAATTGCAATAAAATAATAATAATAATAATAATAATAATAATAATAATATCCCCATTCCGGACCATGTAACCCAAGCAACTAGAAAAAATGAAATAAGAGGCATAAGAATACGACACAAGGCATCACAGTCAGCCGTGTCCTGTTCACACTTTCAGTCTGCACTACCATTTAAGGGAATGATAATATATTTCTCTATTTTACTAAGCTTTTGTATTTCCATGTGACTGGCTCACAAAACTACCCTACTAATACACGTAGTTCTTATCGCTGATTAGGCCTATATACAGTAAACTCTTGTCCAATAAAGATTTGCTTATACACGCACAGTCATTGATCGGACGCATAAAACGTGAGGACACGCGGCCTGCAGTACTGCAAGGGGCAACACGTGCTCTGGTGTTTTCTCCTGATCTCCCGTACACCCCCGCACCCGTCTCTCTCTCTGGTCGCCCCTTGTCTGAGAATCTCTCTTATTGTGTTACAGTGTTAAGAACAGTGAAGCTGTGTTTGATTCATTTTGACGTTCTTTGCCGGGTTGTGATTACGCTATCCCCAGCTAGCAGATCTCACAGACGGCATCGGTAACCTCACTTATTTATGTGCGTGAAAAATGTAGGTTTCCAGCTATTAGGGGAAACTTTTAAGTAGCCGTATTTATGCACTTCCCGATTCAGCGCTTAAGGTATTAATGTTGTCAAACCCGGATTTACGTAACGCGCGGTTCTCGAACAACTTAACCCCCGCACTGGACGAGGGTTTACTGCATGTGTGTTTGTATGTACCCACATATACGTATATAGACTACTATAAGAAGCAAATTTATTATTTAAGAATAGTTTATTTTAAAATGCCGGTCACGGTAGCCGAGCGGTCTAAGACATGCACTGTCTTCGCTCGCTCGGAAGCCGGGATCGTGGGTTCGGATCTGTTTCCTGTGAGGTACGCACTGAATTCTTATATATTATTCTTATACACTGCCGGTCACGGTAGCCGAGCGGTCTAAGGCATGCACTGTCTTCGCTCGCTCGGAAGTCGGGATCGTGGGGTCGAATCCCACACAAGGTACGGATGTTTGGTATGTGTATGTGTTTATTTTGTGCTCGTGTTGTCATGTGTTTAGGTAGAGGCTTTGCGACGAGCTGATCCCCCGTCCAAGAAGTCCAACGTCTGCAAAGTGATCAAAATGAATAAACAACCTCGACACCGTAAGGCATAAGAGAAACGGATTAAGTAAGTAAGTAAAATTATTTTAAAGTAGGGTAGAGAAGAATGTGGCATCTCGCTCATACAGCGCCCTCCTAGGCTTGCTACTGTACTTAGGTCCCGCTGTCTGTGAGTTACAAGCAGTAAACTTGTAGTGCTGAAGGAAGTAGTGGAGGTTTCCCTCTTCTTCATTAAGCGTCACGCCATGAAGACGTATGTTGGAATGGAAGTAACATTTCACTTAACCTCGTCAGGTTGTTATATAACAATATCAGAACTAACACAATAAAATGGAAATATTTAATCACGATACAGATAATCATCGACAAAATGGCGGCCTCCTAAACGCCACCGGATGGAGAAGTTCCCATAAGACCAGTTCATTCAATGTTTATTTCTTACAGCAGAACAACACGCATTCATGAAGTCAATATAGTAACACACTATACCTATCAGTTAAGGATATAACTGGTGGTTAACTCTTATAAGTGATAAAGCTATCCCTGTAACAAGCCATAGAGGCCCATAGGGTTGTAAGATGTCGGGGCTCCCACATTTTTTCTAGACATTCGTCTCACAGATGGCGGTGAGGTTGTCAGCCTTACGCGCCGGCCGCCCTTTACCCCCAAGGAAGATTACTGGTACTCATTTCTCTTAGAGGCTAAGTCGATCCCAGGACCATAGTGCAACTGGAAGTATTAGGTCAAGTGAAAAAATCCACCTCATTAGGACTCGAACCCGTAGCCTTCCGGCTTGTAGTATAGTGCCTCAACAAACTACGCTATCGCGTGCCCCAGCTGTCAGGAGTGGCATTCAGAACTTCGCAGCTCCTCTGTTGCAACTGTCAGCTTATTGTAGAGTAAGACATTTAGGCATTCCATTTGTCGCACGCGACGCCTCGCCTCTGTTTGCATCTACGGAAACACATACACACACACACAACCTATAGTGAATGAAGTAGTTATAAAGCTGAGTATGAAATTTCCCGTTATTCAGGATTTTGGTGATCCATCACCGTCATCACAAGAGCCAGGTCAGTCGATTTTCCTATTAATAAAATCGTTACGTCTTCATACCCTTGTTGAAGGTCTGGATGGCCTCCGTGGGGAGCCAATGTCGCCATAGGGTGGCCACGTCCTTGTAGCCTTGACCGAAATGAAGTCCTGGGTTCGGGTCGTCGTGTCCTAGCACCGGAAACACGAACTGACTGCGGAACGTGTGCCGCAGGAGGTGTGTGAGGTTCTGCAGAACCTCCAGCTGGTGTTCCCCCGAGACGCCGGGTGAGTGCGCCACGCCGTCCCTGCAAGAGCAACGAAACCTTAAGAATGGCCACGCAGCCCTTTTCACTATGTTTCTCCAAACGTGGAGCAAAGCGAATTTGGCTATTGCTGCTGTCCCTTCAAGGTCAAACATTAGACATCTAAAGTAACCACACAACTAAAGGCTGAGCAGCAGTGCAACAAAGTAATCAATAAATTCACTTTCAGTAAAAGCTAAAATTTTCCCTGTGTTTAACTAATTAAGCACTACACCATGAAGGCGTATGGGGGAGTGGGTGTATAGATCCACATTTTCTTGACTTCGGCACTAGTTGGAGGTGAGTGGTCAGCTTCAAGCCCCTTCCCCTCTCGAGGAAAGAGCCCCTTGTACTCATCGAATAGGAGGCTGGGTGGGCCCCAGAGCCGGTCTGGACAACGTGAAGAAGAGAAATTCTTGATCCTACCGGGACTCGACCTCCGACCCCTCTGTCGTGTAGCCCGTAGCCAGTCTCTATAACGACTGAGCTATCCCGGGTCATATTATTTTTCAGTACAACGCAAAAGTCCAACAGCCGCCACTGGACACGATCGTGGTCACTTCAGTCTAGTTCATTTCTCTCCTTTTTAGTTTGACCCAGTTCATACCAATAATATTAAAAAATTATGCACCATGCGAATCGGATTAGGCAATTTAACGCTTGACCGGCCTGAAAATCTTCTTCCCAGTGCCTCTATAGTATTTTTTCTGTAGGTGTTGTAGGCATTGCAAGTCCACGCTACGACAGGGCCGTTTGTATGCACAAATTCCACCTACATGCGTTTCAGTATTATTATTATTATTAGAGGGCGTGGGTTTCCCCATGCACTTAGACCAGTTATTGGTCCATTGTGCATACCCCTTTAATTTCTACTGTCGCCATACCCTACCTGTACTGGCGCGTGCTGTCAGCCCCGTTCAGCCAACGAGGTCGGCCCTCGGTACCTGATATTTCCCCCATCGATCAGAGTCATTGGAAACTACTTGGGCGGGAAACTTGTTGCCTAATTTTGCTCAGAGGTCTCCTAGAGACATGAGGATCTTTTACGTGCCGCAAATCTACGACACGGGACCCACGGCTTAAAGTCCCTCCCGGAGGACTTGTTCCCTGAATTCTTCTGCCCTTAAAAATTTCACGACCTCCGCCGGGTTTGAACCCGCGTACCTTGAATACTTTACTGAAATATGGTTCCAGTTTCCAACATGTTTACACTGCATTAGGGCGCGAAGCTGACCACTTACCTCGAGCTAGTGCCGAGGCTAAGAAAACTTGGGATACATCCACTCCTTGGACGGGCTGATCCCCCGTCAAGGGAGTCCTATTTACTGTGTATAGGATTGAGAAACTGAAAGAGCGACCAGAGTCCAACAAAAGGCACTGTAGAACTATAGAGAGATAGGTCTAGGTAATTTAGTTTATTGCGTACACTTCTTCTGTGATAAACTTTATTTGCCGGTGCACCAAACTGAGGTCTGTTGGGTTACCATTGATATTCAACTTTATACTGCGAACTATTAACATGACATACACATAACAACATTAATCGACAAGGCCATGTTCTTTTGGATGTTAATGATGTGTGTTCTAAATAACGGACAAATATCCCAACTAAAATGGCTGGCGCAGGTCCCAGCAATGAGCACACCTGTGTATGGAAAGCAGGTAAACACAGAACACACGCCGGAGTGCCACCACACACCAGTTCCCTAGTTGCCATGTTTGTGCAGGGAGGAAGGGACATGGGCGTTTAATGGGGCCTGTCTTTGTAATGAGGCGATGTTGACAATATTAGTTCCCGAATTTGCATTTTCGTAGCCCGCTAAGGGTATAAACGCTTTCATCATTAAGAGATGCAAATATGCAAACTAGTAGGGCCTACTGATGGGGACGCGCGTACCGGGTATACAAAATAATGTAATACTGCTGTGCACTCCGAGGAAGATACTGAATCAGTAATTGTGAGGACTGGGTCATTGGACTGTAATGCCAGATGAACGGAAGAGAAGGTATGCTTCTTATGCGTTCTATTCCTGGTAAAAGAGTAAAAAGTAAAGCTATCCTTGTAACAGGCCATGGAGGCCCATAGGGTTGTGAGACGTCGAGGCTCCCACATTTTCTAGACAATCGGCTCACAGATGGCGGCAAGGTTGTCAGCCTAACGCGCCGACCGCCGTTTACCCCTAAGAATATTCCTGGTACTT